CCCCCGCCGCCGCCGCCGCCGCCTCCTCCTCCTCCCGGCCTTTCCCCCACCCCGGCCGCAACGCCCGCCGTCCTCTCCGCCTCCAGATCCGGAACTCCCCTCTCGGCGACACCTCCCCGGCGCCTCCCGCCGCACCCCTCCCTCCGGCGGCCTCCGCAGCGCTCGGGCCGGCCCGCCCGCCTGGCTCGCCGGGCTTTCCCCACTTTCGCTCGCTCCCTACCTGCCCTTTTTCCAGATCCGCAGTTCCCTCCTCTCCTCCACCCTGCGCCGCGTCCGTTCCTCCCCACCCCCCACCCCCGGTAACTAACTTAGTACTCCCCCCCCCCCCACGCCTGGACCCACCGCTCCGCGCCCGGGAAAGCCGAGCCCCAAACTTTTGTGGTCATTCAGGATCGGATCTCCGCCCTGAAGGCCTGTGTCGTCCCCCCCTCCACCCCCCCTTCCGAGGTCCCCCTCCCCGTCCCGGCCCCCGACCCAGGCTCTCCCGCCGGCCTGGAGGCCGCCGGGCCGCCCGCCGGCCTCCTGCTGCCCACGGCCCGAGCCCCCCCAGCCCGAGGCTCGCAGGAAGCCCCGCAGGAAGTCGGGGCCGGGCCGGTCGCCGCCGCAGACCTCCACGTGGCTGATTGATCGCCGGGAGGGTTTATTGTTACTGATGGGTCGATGGATTGATTGATCCTCACACAGGCCCGAGTGAGGTGTGCCAGTCTCGCTGCCCCAAGGTGCTCCCAGGGAGCACCCTTCCCCCTAAAGCCAAGTAGAAGAAGGCGGTGTTTGCCGTGTCCACGGGCGGATAAGTTTCTGGTGGGAGGAAGGAAGGCAGCTTTGTGGATTCTTAGAACTGTTCCCCCTCTGCTGCCGCCCGCTCAGCTTTGCAGGTGCCTCTCCCTGAGGAAACACTGTGCCCATTTCCTACTACAGATGTCAATCACCATATCTGTCCGCACCGCTCTGTAAACTGCCTGGTTTAAACAGGATAATTAGATTCTTAAAAAACAAACCTGTCATCACATGGTGAGCTTTGGTTATCCCCCCCCCCATATCACCTCACATTTGCATTTCTTTCCCTCCTACTTAAGCACGAGCAAAACCTGATTGTTAACGGTGATTGAATCTTACATGTGTGCTCTCATTTTCACAGAAGAGACAGATTTTAGAACTGATCTTTTAAGAAGATAAGGCTGTGGTGAAAAGCGGCTTAGGGGTTGGAGGCGAGGCTCAGCTGGCAGAGACTAGCTGATGAGCTAAAGAGGCAGGTACTGAGTTCAAATCCCGATCTTGGACCTAGAATACAAAGAACATAGCTAGATGGGTATAGCATAGAAAATGACCCATCTCCACTGAAATGCTGGTGTTGGTTCCAAGGCCCAGTTAGTACACTGAGAAGATCATTGACTGTCACTGATCTATCCGCCTGTGGTGTTTGCAGAGACTTTGAAATACATATGAAAGGCCACAAAGTTAGAAACTGATGAATAGTTACATGGTTGTAAAAGCCCAAGTTTCTCTATTTACAAGAAACTGAAAGTAGACCTTAAAATACATGTCCCCTTTTTTTTTTTTTTCAATTTTGCCGGGAGGCAGCCTTTATTAAGTTGACAGAACTCTTTAGAAAATGAGGCAGTGCACTCAAAGCTTAGGTCAGGAAGAACCACACTTAACCTATGGGAGCTCAAAGCTTTTATCTGCCAAACAGTGATTATAATACTTCACAATATTATCAAAAAGAGTAATTGAGGCCAAGTACATATGCAAATATCAAGTACAGCTTGTGAATGGAGGATGTCTTTGTGTTTGGGTACAATTCTTGCCCGAGGAGCTGATTACTCTGAACTGGAGTTGTTATGGTAGGGTGCCTCAGGCCTGTCTAGGCCAGGGAAGTGTTCATTGGGCAAGAGAGTAAAGGCTAGAACCTAAAAGAGGAGGGGGGTAGGGGAGGGAGGTGGAGGTGATTAAGAGAAACAGCCTCCTCCAGGTGGTAAGGGTATATAATGGCACCCACAGCTCAGAGGTCAGCTGGATCTCAGAACCAAGGCAACTGGAACAGAGAATTCTTTGAGTACCTAGTGTGTGCAGGTTGCTTTACATTTGTTATTTCCTCTCAACATCATGCTGCCTGAGATTGCTATGAACCTTTTGAAACCAGGATTCAGAGCAGGTTTTCCAACCTCAACATTCCTGTCACTACATACATCATCTTTGTCAAGTAATGATGACTATAATCACTTTATATAATATATGCATTATAATATTACATACATATTACAGAAATAAGTGCTCCCAGAAAGGAGGTAAAATAGGCCTAAAGATTTTTATTTTTGAAATTTCCCCAGATGTCACCTCTACTGAAGAGAAACCCTCCCTAAGGAATTGTGTTGTTCCTTGGGCTATACTCCTCTGGGGCTCTTCCTGTGCCCAGCCTCCCTCCCTCCAGTATCGAAGTTGAAAATCTTAAATCACTAAATGTAACTTGCTTGCCTTCAGGCCTTTGTACAGGGAGTTCTTTTCAATTGAAATATCTTCTGGCACCTTAACATCCAGCTTAGATGTCAGTTACCAAAAGGTTTTTCCAGACCCTTCCCCCACATTTCTTTCCACCAAAACAGATGGATAGCATGGGTAACCTGCTAAGATGTTTTCAATACACTCTCACATTTTTCCAGATAAATTGCCACTGTGTTGTAATTGCTTGATTTGTTTCCCACCCTCAGATAAAACTTACAAGAGCCTGGAGACTTGTCTATCTAGTTTATTATTGTATCCTCTCTGTCTGATGTGCAGAAAAGGCTTAATAAACATGTGGGATGGACTGCGGAGTGAATAATTAGATGGAAAAAAAAAGGGAACATAGAACTTACAAGGGAGGTCAGGCCACTATTCTGCTTCACTTCCATAGCTATTACTTAATTAGAACCATGATTATTTGGTATCTGATTGCCATCATTACTGGTCAATTGTTTCCCTCTTAACTCAAAATCTTACTAAGGCTGCTCAGAACTAGAAAGTGATCATTTTCATTTAAATTCATATTTTTGCAGTGATTGAAATGATGTATACAGAGTGGTGTATACATTTAGCTGCATACTCTAGGAATGCTTTAGCTGGGTACTTCTGGCCTCTTGTAAGTTTCTTCCCAGGCTGTCAATGGATCTACCATCATCTCTTAGCTTCTCGGGGCCTGAAGAATCTGCTTCCAAGTTCTTTGGCATGACCCACAGGAAAGCTTCAGTTCCTCTCTGGCAGTAGGAGATTTC